ATTTATACAGATTCCCGCTATGCATTCGGGGTAGTCCATGATTACGGGCAGCTTTGGAAACACCGCGGGTTTCTCACATCAAAAGGGGGGAAATTTTGTAATGGAGCTTATGCAGATGCCCTTCTCTCTGCTCTCCAACTTCCTTCTGCCATTGCAGTTGTAAAGTGTGTTGCTCACGAAAAGCCCTATGATGATGTTACAAAAGGAAATGCCTTGGCAGATCTGCTGCCAAGCATGCGGCCCTTTCCGGCTCTCTGGCTCCACCTGAGTCTGTTTTTGTCTCGCAATTGGTTTCACAGTCCCCCTCCATAGCTGCTACCCCTCAGGATTTAGCTCTCATGCACGATTCGGCCCCCAAGTCTGAAAAAACCCGATGGGAAGCGGGATGGTTGTTCCTTACATCCGGATGCCTTGGGGTGCTCCCCTACTGGCCGCTTGGTGGCGCCCAAGGCCTTACTCCCCTACCTTGCCCGCGTGGCCCATGGAATGGGATACGTGAGCAAAGGGGGGATGATTGCATCAGTACTGCAACATTGGTATGCCCCAAATGTTTCTATATTGGCACAGCTGTCTTGTAATTCCTGTCCTATCTGCCTAGCCCACAATAGTGGCAAACCGGTACGAACCAAGCCTGCTGGGCATCCAGCCCCTTGGGGACCTTTTGTAAATATCCAGATTAATTTTATCAGTATGCCTAAGTGTTGTTCTTATAAATATGTTCTTGTTTTTCTTTGTATGTATTCTGGATGAATAGAGGCCTACCCTTGTGTAAAGGCTGATTCCCTAAAAATTGTTAAAGGACTTTATTCCCCAGTTTGGACTACCTGTCTCAATTAACAGCGATAGAGGCACCCACTTTACAGGCCAAATCATGCAACAGATTTGCAAGGCCCTCAGTATCTCCCAGCACTTGCACTGTGCCCACCACCCCCAAAGTGTGGGGGCAGTGGAACAAAAAAATGAAAAACTAAAGAACAAAATCTCTAAGATCTACACTAAAACTGGTTTAAAATGGCCTGATGCCCTGCCCCTTGCTCTCATGTATATAAAAAGCACTCCTTCACATAAACACGGTCTATCCCCACATAAAATCCTTATGGCCAGACCCATAAGAATGCCGGTATCCCCTCCCCCACTCCCTCACCACTTGGACCTGCAACTAAATGATAATACCGTTATGGCATATTGACAGACTCTAATAAGGTGCGTTAGGTCTCTTCACTCACAGGTCCAAAGTACTCTGCCTGATCCAGCTGATACCCCGTGCCACCCCTTGCAGCCAAAAAATTGGGTCTACATCAGGGTACATCAAAAAAAAAACTTCCTTGGAACCTTGCTGAAAAGGCCTTTACCAGATTCTGCTGACCACTCACACTGTGGTCAAGTGCAAGGGGCTAACTAACTGGGTCCAGGCCTCCCACTGTAAACAGACTTTGCCACCCTTGGACCCAGACGCCAAAAAATTCCATCTTGCAAATCCCGTCTTGGAAAGCAACCCGGGGGACAGTGACTGTAATCTCTCCCTGGGCCCCGACAAGAAACCCAGATATAACCTCAGAAGCAAAAGCCCGTGAGCCCTCCAGCCAACGTCATTTCGTAATCCGCCTTTATAGTCAGCTAAGGCTTTGGCCTACTAATAGAGGGGACACAAGGCCATAATAACGCCTTTTCAAAAGTCCAGTAAAAAGCCTAGCGCCCACTGGCTCCCTACAGCCATGACTGACCCATCCACAAGAACAAAGAAGTCGGCCATGGTGCAAAAATGGCTTATGCCCTCCATTTGGTTCATGTGTGTAACCATGCTTCTGCTACTAATATTAAACTTTCATGACACCTTGATGTTTTTTTGGGCCTCTGGAACCAGCGCCACTCCCCTGGGGAGTCCTTCCCCTTTGACCACAAAATCATTTACCATTGAACTTTTGGACTTTGTCAAACCCCTTCAAAAAACCCCACTGTCCTCCCACCCCCGGTATGGTGCAAAACCCCTACCCTTCCGGGAAAAAAAATGCTCGGTCCCTGAACATCGGTAAAACTGAATCCCATATAGGGTACCAGGGTAACATGTTTTTTGACTATTTGCAAACTATCGCAAATACCAGCCATCTGTCGGACTGCTGGATTTGTGCCCACGGTCTGAAACATGCAGGGCATGGGTTCCCTCTTTTTGGCATCCCTAACAATAATTCTTGGACTCTGAAAAAAAAACAAAAAACGTACCTGGCTCAGACAACTGCTAAAGGCATACCGCCCACCTTTGTCTGGTATATAAAAAACACCCCAAAAGGAACATTTACTTTGTGTGTTAGAGTCAATCAAACATTGGGAACCACTCCAATGGGAGCCACCCAAAATTGCCAATACATATTAAATTCCAAAAATACAGAACCTTCAAGTTAATTGGTTTCCCATCCACCAAAACCTGGTGTAAAAACCTTAATTGTTATTCTTACTCAATCCAGTTAAATGGCTCAGCCTTACAGTTATTTGACAACGGGTGGATTCTTAGGCCAAATTCTTCCCTTTGTAGCACTAACACCTCCCTCCCTTGAATGACCCCCCAGCCTCCACCCTATGGGCCAGTCTGGTGTGCAAAAATGCTCTAATAATGAATCTAATATCTGGAAGGGCACCTGTAAGTCCAAAGGGGAAGGTGCCCTATACCCTGCCATCTACCAAAAGGGTGTGTACCAGCTTTGGAATGAAAAAAGGGAAAAGGAAGAGGAAAAGATTAGTGGGCTCATGAATATAAAAGTTTAGGCCAAGGTGATGCCAAATAGGCATCAAAGGGGAGATTGTTGTAGAAAGATTTCTAGGCCTAAACTTTGGTTGGATCAGGTAGGCCTATATTTTGGCTTGGGCCTGAACATTAGTCAAGTTAACTGGAAGAAGGGGGGTTTTGGAGAAAAGGGGCTTTTTGAAGGCAGGGTGAAGAAAAAGTACAGAAGAGGAACTATCTATAATCACAAGTCTGGTGATTCATAACTGCCCACTGTTAGTTTTAGGGGAAGCATGTAACTGCAAAGGGCAAACTGAGAATAACAGGAAAGCTTGCTATGCTATACTCCCTTTTATGGATATTATATTCCAAATATGGCAATAATGTTGATAAGAAAGTATGTATTATTAATTGTGGTTTTATCCTATATAAGCTCCCGTATTTCATCTGTCGGGCGGGGGGGGGGGGGGGGAAGTCGGCTGCCTTGGCTGACTCCCCCATGCATGCATGTTTGATTGATCAATAAAGGAGCCTCAGGCTGTCTGATCCAAAATCAACCATGTGGTCAATTTTCCACAACAATGGCAAAATGATTGATTTTGTGGGATGAAGGCCAGTATGCAGGAACTAAGGGCACTGTATGGATTGCCATAGACGAAAGCCCTAATTCTGCCTCCATCATGCTGAGTACTTCCTTGCTTACCAGATGGTCCCCTCCCAGGCTGCATTAGGAAAGTCCCATCCAGAACCCACTTGCTACCTCACTGGAGACATTCACCAGCAGCCACTTCCCCAAAAACCAAGATAGGTCCTATTCCTGTCAGGATGTTGCTTTCTCTCTAGAGGCCCACAACACATCTAGCTTCTATCGTGTTCTCCTCCTTACTGGGGAAAAGTTTGCTTCTTATATCTGGCTTCCCCTTTCCCAGCAGGCCTTGCTTTTCATCTACAATTCCCGTAAGAACTGGGAATCACATCTCCCAGAATTCCCTTGCTATGCTGGGCTGGCCTGGCTCCAGGCCTGAGTTTACAGGGACAGCACACCCTGTTTCTAATGGTTATATATGACAAATAAGGGCCTAATTCTGCCTCCTTCATTCGTGGAGGAGTATTTTAGCACACAGCTAGTCCCACCGACTTCAGTGGGGCTGCTTGCAGAGTGACGTACCCTTAAACATAAGTAACAAAGGCAGAATTGGGCTCTGAAATAGCATGAGTAGGCTAGATTGCATCTGGTCCCTACTAGATGTTCTACTGCCCCACAAGCAACACAGAGGATGGGATGGGAATCCCCAGGAACTGGCCTGTGGTTCTGCTCAAACCTGGGGAGAAGGAGGTGTAAGGAGCTTTCCCCATTTGTTTGGTCTGTATAAATACCAGACAGAATTTCAGTCTGTGCTCAGGGAGCTGCCTCCCTGCTCCCACTCAAAATCAGCAAGGAGGAAGGTGGGCTGGGGCTCTACCTTGCTCACCCAACATCCACAGAGCCAGCCAGACACATGTAAGAAAGTGAGCTGCATCTAGTAATGGAGTGTAGTTTTGTGGACACTACTTGTGCACCTCTCAGAGTTCCAGCAGACTTTCTAATAGACAGATAGGGATGTCAGCAAGAAAGATGGGAGTGGAATGGAGTTATCTGGTCTGAAAGATTAATTCAACCAGATTCTGAAATAAGGACTTCAGCAGCCATGGAATTGGTAAACATTTGCCCATATTTATTTTTCTAAAAGCCACCATGTTACAGGTACTCCCTTCCATATAAGGTCCAGTATAAGAATGGAGTGCAAAGACAGTGTAATGACCAATGCAGGCAGCACCTGCACCAACAGGTAGTGCTGTGTCTTTTACCTTAATGGTGTTGTCTTGTTTTGATATTATGTTGTCATCTTGGCTGGGGTGGAGATGGCGCTAGGAGAAAATTGAGTCCTGTGTGTGCTGAAGTTTTTATGTAGTGTCCCCAAAAATTCTTGTTGACCTGGAGTTGTTGGCAAATATTGTGTAATAACCGTGATTCAAATTCCTTCTCCTGTTCATTGAAGATGCAACTTGGCAGGCTGAACTGTCACATTATTTGCAGCACCCCACTACATCCTTTGATTTCTATAAGTGAGTAATACAGTAGAGTGGTGAGGAGATGTTTGCTATGTCTCTCTTGAATTATTCTTTCTCTCAAGCTTTTGCAAGCCCATAAATGGAAGGGAGGAAAAGGAGGGGAGAGAAATTAAACAACATTTAATATCCTCATGTTAGTTTAATTTAAGAATGATACAGATAGCACCTCTTTAAAAAAAGACAAACTTTATTACAAATTGTACATCTTCTTTGGATCCTTCAGTATTATTTCAAACTATTTTAAAAGATCAGTGTTCAGAAAATTTTTAAAAATGATGAGTTTGGTACTTCCACTTAAAATTTAAAATACTGCTACATAATTAATGAAAATAGCTTGATGGTTTCATTCTGCACAACAATGGAAATTGGTAATGAGTTACTGATTGGAACTCACTACTACCCAGACACAGCTTTTGCAGAACTGTACAGAAATTTAAAAAAGCATTATTTAAATGTTGGACCAGATTCTGATCTCGTATACATTGGTGTAAATCCACTGTAGCCTCTCTAGATTTACACTGGTTTGCGGAGATCAGAATCTGAGCCAATGTCTTCACAAGGTTTTATTAAAAGCAATAGGAATTCTCATTTTACAAGTACCATGATGCGAATTTTCTCACTAGGACTTTATTCGGCTAAGCCCTGATCTCGCAACTGGATCTGCACAGAGCCCTACTAAAGTCAACTGGTCTTCACATGGGATGAAAGGGTTCCTCTGTAGATCCAGATCAATGGTGGCCAAGCTCTCCCATGAATCCAGTGGGACATACAAGTTTAACAGAAGGCAGAATTTAACCCAATGGGTTCTTCACAATGGGAACAAAGTCTGTTGCTATGCAACTGTTTTCCTACCACAGTGATGCATATTATGGACAGCAAAAGTAGCATCTACTTCTTACACCTAAAACTATTAAAACCCATATCACTCAAAACCAGATAAATGACATTACTGACGGAAAGTTAAATAATATCAACGTTGTCATAAATATAGGTAGGATCATGAAACAGCATATTAATTGTTGAGCATTTGTACTTCCTATCAGGTGTTCCAGCCATGGTTACACTGGCACAATGCCATGGACCTGAGTAGGGTTACACCAGTGTACACAACAGAAGAGTGTGACCTGGTGGCTTCAGCTTGGAAGCGAAGATCCTATGAATCTGAACCATGAGAAAAGGGATAGTGGATCTGGAATAGGTGAACAGAGGGAATGGAGACAAACCGAGGTGACCCTCTGCCCAAACCAAAGAAAAACTATGATTGGGGGAAATCAAAAAGACTACTCCTTCCATGAACTCTGGGGACAAAAATCACATCAAGGGGGCAGGAAGGAGTCAAAAAGCTCTGCCCACCTCCTTTTTGCACTGGCTTGAAGAGCAGAGTGCAGCTCCCCCTTCCCAGCTGCTATTTCAAGAGATAGTGTAATGTGCTCATTCCCTGTGCACTTGGAAAGGGTGTATATGTGTGTGAGAGAGAGACACTATCTGAATGTCAGGAATAGCTAACAGAGGTCAACTTAGATAGCTGATGAAACCTAGAAGGGGAGATCTGGTCTGCGGCTGGCTAGTAGCCCCATGGCTTATTTAGTTGCCTGTGACTATGTAGCATTTTTGTCCTAAATTACTAATGGGGAGACTTTCACAGGGCCCAAATGGCAACTGGGCACCAACCCCCATTACAGTTGCAAACTGCCATTCATGCCTTTCAAAAGTCTTCCCCAAAATGATTTGGAATTAAAATATCCTGTTTCCCTAACAGGACGCTACATTGAACAAACTGGACTGAGTGGTCACCAGACATTTAAATTCAATTTAGCAATTCACTGAACATCATAATTTTTACAAAGGTAAAAATTTCAAAATAAATTGACACTGAACAATTCCTCCTTGATTTGGCAGAATCACCATCACAATTCCAGAATATAAAGGACTGTTTCTCGAGGTCGTTAGGACTATAATTAAAGTAATAGATTTTAACATGTTGAATTACTGCCTATCTTAACAGGCAGCCTTCACAGTGGGTCCATAATGGTAGGCCTGTCTTTAAGATTCCAGAACTATGGGATTATTTTTAGCCATTCTTTTATAAAATGGGCCAGATTTTCTGCTGGCATAATTCCACTGAGTTCAGTGGAGTGACACCAGCAATACGTTGGTTTACACTGCATAGAAAACAACTCAGGTGGCCAATTACAGCTGAAGGTACTCAGCCCCTCAGACCCACTAATCTGACTGGAAGTTCACACAGTAGATATTGGATAATTGTGGTGGAGGATGTGTAATTCTTTCTGCTATTGTACAGATCGGAGAAGTTGCATCACAGGAATCCTAAGGGGTGTAAGGTGTGCATTATGGAAGAACTGTCAGGGCACATCAATGTTTAGGCCTAACAATCTCAACAGTATCCTTCTAAAAGTGCCTTGAAAATCAACAGAAGTATCTATGCACAGTAGAAGTTGAGTTGCTAACAGTGCATGTTTCTGAAACCGGGCAAAGTCACTTTCCCATGGGTGTAAATTAACTCATTTTGGCCTTGGTTAATGTGCTTCACCAAGTTTTTCTCGAACAGCAGTGGGTGGTAAGCACCCATGGTGCAGGCGCGGTCGTGGTATCTCTGGTAATAGTGGCAGATATCTGTCTGTCGTTTGGAAGGGAGGAATTCATAAACATCCACTTCATCACAGAGGGTCATCATGATCACAATGCCTGGCAGGGGGAGAGCAAGAACCAGTTAGTCAACCTCGGGGCAAACAGGTTATGAAACAAACCATCTTCTTGCTTAAATATGAGGCAGGAGGTTTAAGCGAAATATCCCCTTCTGTCTTCAAAGATGGGAGGCGGTGGGGTTTCCCTGCAAGAAGTGTTCTTCGTAAAGTTCAGACCACATGGAGAGGGAGAAAAGACTATGACTGGAGGAGGCTATTTTCTGAAGCTCCTTGAAGTCTGCACAATTGTTGAGCCATTCGCTCATTCACATACAAATTGGTTACACCTCCAAAATCACAGATGCTGTGACTGGCATCTGCATCCTGCTAGACACAGCACAATCTGCCCCATTAAAGCCTCATGAAGATACTGTGTGACAGCAATATGCCATGAGTTATAAGATCAGCATTAAAAAATGCTACTACTTCTTGATAGCTGTGTGAAAACTTGCTGCGTAGCCAAGCATGCACTATATCAGCGGTTCTCAAACTGTGGGTCGGGACCCCAAAGAGGGTAACAACCCTGTTTTAATAGGGTCAGTAGGGCTGGTTTAGACTTGCTGGGGCCCAGGGCTGAAGCCAAAGCCAGAGCGCAACCACCCATGGCTGAAGCCAAAGCCTGAGGGCTTCAGCTTCGGCCATTGGTGGCGGGGCTCAGGTTACAGGTCCCCCGCCCAGGGCAGCGAGGCTGGGGCTTTGGCCCCCTCACCTGGGGCAGTGGGACTGCGGCAGACTCAGGCTTCGGTCCTCCCTCCTATTTAACTTGGCCAAACTTCCCAGTCTCAAGTCTAGGGTAGGGTTTTGTGTTGTGGGGGAGGAGTGCAACACCTCACCTAATGAATGCACAGCCATTAAAATCACAAGTCTAGAGAGGGCTTGTTTTGCAGTTCAACACCACTGCACAGTATGCTACTGTTCAAGCTCAAAGCAATTTCCCTAGATGGAGCAATGTTGTCCTCATGTGTCTTATGTGAAGTATACAAGCAATTCTAGAATGCAATTAATAATGATAATCAGCCAGATTCTGTGGTGTGTTCTGTGCAAAGCAACTGTTAGAGAGGTAACAATTAATCCCGGTTTACAGGCTGCTTTACATTGCTAAAGCATTGCAAAGCACCCAGGGCATACCAGGGAATCTAGATCAATATTTATTTTCTAGCATCCCACTGAATTATGCTGAGTTTCAGATCTGAATAGATTTGTGACATCTGGAAGAACGACTAGGGAATCTACTAATGCTACACAACAAATTCTTTTTAATTTTGTGACTACTTTGTCAAATTGTATTCCCTGTTTTTTTTTTTTTAATTTGATCAGAATTTACCATAAGTAACTATTTCCAGTTACATGGGGCCTTCCAAAGGTTCCCAGAGCACACTGAACAATTTAAGCTTCATACCATCACTGGGATATACAATGTAGTTGTAGCTGTGTTGGTCACAGGATATTAGAGAAACAAGGTGGGAGAGGTAAGTAAAGGTTACTTACTGCAACTGAAGGTTCTTTGAGATGTGTGGTCCCTATCTGTAGTCCACACATGGGTACACATGCACACCATGTGCCTGAGTCCAGAAATTCTTCAAAGCAGTCTCCATTGACCCGGCACATGCACAGTAACTCTCCTCATGCTCCCGACTGAGAGTATAAGAGGCAGTGTGAATCAACACCATTCCAGTTCCTCTTCTTACTGCAATCCAACGAGATCCAAAGCAGAGAACATGGAAGGCGGGTAGTGAAATACAGATAGGGACCACGCATCTCAAAGAACTTCCAATTACAGCAAGTAATCCTCATTTCTTCTTCAAGTGCTGGTCCCTATGTGTATTCCATATCTGGGTGACTGTCTAACAACATTCAGACCGGAAGATGATGTGAGGAAACTGGCAGCAGAGAGGTTTGTAGTACTGCCGTTCCTACAGCTGCGTTCACCATTGCTGCTTGAGTTAGAGAATAGTTTAATGTCAAAGTATGAATGCCCTGTAGATGTCCTGTAGTGGAACATCCAATAAGGATGTCGGGGAGGCAGCTTGTGTCCACGTGAAGTGAGCTGTGATATGCCCAGGATGGGGGAGCTTCGATGTTTTGTAGTGTTCTGAGATGCATCCCGAAACCCACTTAGAAATCCTCTGTAATGATATAGCCTGTCCCTGTGACCTTTCTGCCACAAGAACAAAGAATTTCTGAGATTTTCTAATGTGTTTGGTTCTCTGCAGGTAGAATGCCAGGACGAGCCTGATGTTAAGGGAGTGAGGTCTCTTTTCTCAGACGAAGCATGGGAAGAAGAGGAGGTTACTCACCCTGTGCAGTAACCGACGTTCTTTGAGATGAGTGTCCCTGTGGGTGCTCCACTCCAGCTCAAGGTGCATCCCAGTGCCTTTGATCGGAGATTTCTACAGCAGTACCTCTACGGGCCATGCATGTGCTGTGCCTGCCTCACAAACTGTCAGTGTTTGAATAGCATGTGCATGGCCTGGGCTCCTCAGTTCCTTCTCTACAACAGAGTGCGTTCCAGCTTCCGAAGTAGAGGGGAGGAGGGCGGGTAATGGAGCACCCACAGCGACACTCATCTTGAAGAATGTCAGTTACTGCACCTGGTGAGTAACCTCCTCTTCTTGTTCGAGAGAGGTCCCTGTGGGTGCTCCACTCCAGGTGACTGAAAAGCAGTATCCCTTAGGATGGTTGGGACTTCGGATCAGGTAAGAAGGCTGTTGACAAGACAGCTCTACCCATCTTGATGTCGGATGCTGCAGTGTGCATGACAGCACAGTGATTGGCGAAGGTAAGGTTTGATGCCCAGGTAGCTGCCTTGCATATGTCAAAAAGCAGGACATTACGGAGCAAGGCAGTGGAGGTGGAGACAGCTCTAGTGGAGTGTGTCCTAATTGATGTAGGAGGGTGTATTTGCTTCATTTGGTAACAAGAGACGTATGCAGTCAGAAATCCATTTGTAGAGTCTCTGTGTAGAAATAGCCTTTCCCTGTGATCACTGAGTAGCAGAGACAAAAAGTTTGGGGTTTTTTTCTAAATGGTTTTGTTCTATCCAGGTAAAAGGACAGTACCCTGCATCCACCAAGAGTGTGCACTGCCGTTTCAAAAGCATTAGTGTGAGGTTTTGGGGAAAACATTGATAGGTGTATAGGCTCACTGAGGTGAAAGGAAGAGTGTATCTTAGGTAGGAACTTTGGATGTGTGCAGAGTATGACCTTATTGCGGAAGAACGTGTTATACGGAGAGTCCACGATAAGCGCTCCCATTTCTCCTATTCATCTGGCAGATGTGATTGCTGTCAGGAAGGCGGTCTTCATGGATAGGTGGAGAAGGGAGCAGGTAGCCACTGGCTCACAGGGTTTGTCCATCAGGGCTTTGAGGACTAGGTGTAGGTCCCAGGGTGTAGGGGGCGGTTTTACGTCTGGATATAATGTCTGAATACCATTCAGGAACCTTTTGGTGATTGGATGGGCAAAGACTGTAGCATTGTCAATCTTATGGTGAAATGCAGTGGACTTTGAGTGAGCTCGTGGAGAGACCAGATGTTTTAAGGTGTAGCAGGTAATCTAGTATCATTGGGAGTGAGGCAGAAACTGGAGAGGTCTGTTTGTCAGTGCACCAAGATGTGAACCGTTTCCATTTATGCAGGTAAGTAGTGCGCGTGGTATGTGTTCTGTTGTGTAGTAAGACTGTGTGCACTTGGTCCGAACAGGTTAACTCCTCATTAGAGAACCATTGATTAGCCAGGCCCTCAGGTGGAGACACTGTACGTCGGGCTGAAATAGCTGTCCCTGGCGTTTTGATAGGAGGTTGCTGAGCGGAGGAAGGGGAATCGGTGGCTTGACTGACATCCGCGTGAGAAAGGGATACCACGGTTGTCTGGACCATGCTGGGGCTATTAGAATGATGTTGGATCTGTCTGTTCTTATCTTCTGTATAACTCTGTTCAAGAAAGGTATTGGTGGGAACACATACATGAGAGTTTCGTTCCATCGGAGCATGAAGGCGTCTCCTCAGTAGTGTTTCCCCAGGCCTGCTCTGGAGCAGAATGTTGGGCATTTTTTGTTTATTGCTGTGGCAAATAGATCCAGTTGGGGATAACCCCACTTCTGGAAAATGTTGGATAGAATGGTGTCATTGAGTTCCCATTCATGCTGTATGGGGAAGGATCGACTGAGCTCGTCTGCGGTGGTCTGAGAATCTGGCAGGTATGAGGTGGAGATATGGATATTGTGTTGAAGGCACCAGTTCCATAGTTTTACCGCCTCTGTGCAGAGGGAGTGGGACCGGGCTCCCCCCGTCTGTTGACATAAAACATGCACGCGATGTTGTCGGTCATGATCCGAATTCAGCGGTTTTGGATAATGGGAAGGAAATGGAGGCAGGCATTGCATTCGGCCCTGAGCGCTAGCAAATTTATGTGAAGCTTGGTTTCTGTAGAGGACCGGAGGCCCTGAGTGGTGAGGTGGCCCATGTGCGCTCCCCATCCTGTGAGGGATGCATCTGTAGTGATGGTCATTGAAGGGGGATCTTGTCGGAAGGGAACACCAGTACATAGGTTGATGGGAGAGGTCCACCACAGAAGTGACTTTGACTTTTGGGAGCATAATTAGTCCTTGACTTTCAGGGGCACAGTTAGTAATTTGTTTAGCCTGTGCGTATTCGGTTTGTATACTGTGGCTAGACAACCCTGAAGGCATCGCATGTACAGGTGAGCATTTGTGACCACAAATGTGCAAGCGGCCCTGTGTCCTAAGAGCTGCAGGGAATCTCGAACTGTAGTCTGTGGGCTGGCACGTATCTGGGTAATAAGGGTGCCCATTGTGTGGAATCTGTCCTGGGGAAGAGAGGCAAGACCACTGGGGGAATCGATGTGGGCGCCGATGAAGTCTATTTGTTGGGTAGGCTGTAAGGTAGATTTGTTTTTGTTTATTTGCAGACTTAGGGTGCGGAAGCAGTGGAGGGTTGTAAAAGTTGTGTGGATTGCTTCCAAGTGAATGGGGAATTTAAGGA